GGGGCCGCCGAAGCCTAGCTGCTCCCTGCTGAAGAGCAAAGAGGTCGCAGCCAAAGCCAAGGGGCCCGCCCTGAACAAGGTGGCTGCTGCCCCGCCACGTGGCGTGGCTGCCCCGCCACGCGCTGCCCCGCCACGCGCTGCCCCACCACGCGGCGCAGCTGCTGTCCCCGGGCGGGTCCATGGGGGCAACACAGGCCCTCCCAACAGCAGAGCCAATCAGACAACACCAGCCACAGCACAGAGGGTGGGGCGGAAGCAAGCAGCCACCACCAACCCCATCAGCGGGAAGTCAACCCTAAAACCTGATGCGGCTCCAGGACTCGCCCTGGCCCCGAAGAAAACCAGCCCCAACGTCAGAGATGTAAAGACGGAGCCCGGCGTCTGCAAGAAGATCAAGAGCAAAAGCGAGGACCCTTATTTTGAAATGAACAGTCGGAGGAGGCAGAGGACGTAACCCAACGGCGTCCGAAGACTTCACCAAAGCCAGCAGGCTGGTGGTCACACAGCAGTTGTCACTAACCCTCATCAAAAAGCTTCTCATTTTTGTCCATTGTTTGTCTTCAAATCTGTTTTTGTATGTTATTTAATCGCCTTTTATCTTTTGTCTTTTTTTTAATCCAGGGTCAAAGGTATCATGTATGTCTTGTCACCGTGGTGATTGAGCGGTCTTTTTTCGGGCGGTCAGCTAACTTGGTCAACACTAAAACTTGTTGTTTACATTTTCACTCGTTACATGTGAAGCCGTTACAAATGATTTGTGTTGGCTGACTTTAGCAGAACAAAGGATATAATTTTATCGAACACTAACCTCAAAGCTTATTTTAGCTCATTACATCATCACAGGAAACAGCCATGAAGTAAAAGGCACTTCGGTGAACTTTTGCAGGTAAACGGATAATTTTTTTATTTATTGCAAAGCAGCTCCTGAGTCCCGTTTCCTCCAGCAGGTTACCAAAGTTGTGACATTTCTGGAGTTCAGTGACAAAACTGGAACACAAATCATGGTTTCTGGTGATTTATTGTTGCTCCCCAGTGAGAACATACTGTCCACTGGTGGATATTTGGACATAACACTTGTGTCTGATATCTAGGTGGGAGGTTCGTCTCGATACCGCCGGACAAGGCGTCATCAGGAACGGATCTTCCTGTCGTGTGCCTTCATCAGAAATGTCTCGTTTCTGAGCGGCATTAGAATGTATTAGATGATCGGGGGGGGTTAATTGTTTTTACTGATGAAAATTGCACATTGTGTACGAGCACTCATGACTTTGGTTTCTCGGGAGAAAAGCCTGAGTCGCAGATGAACTACTGATCAAACTCCTCTCTTCTTTTTAGCAGAAAACACTCTGTGTGTGTGTGTGTGTCCGTGTGTGTGTCCGTGTGTGTTTGTGTGTGTGTGTGTCCCCTTGTTTGGCACTTTACAGGAACCGCCATGTTTGTCAGAATTTTAATGTTGATTCTGTCTCTTGTTCCGGCTACCTTTTTGTCATTTTGATTAATAAATTGACAAGTGTTTTAAAGACTATCTAAAATGTGTCACATTTGTCTTATTTAACATATTAAGTGTTTTTGAGGAGTTGTTTCCTCTAAAACGGTCTTAGCCTGGATACCCAACACATTCCTCCAAGTATTCAGACTGGAGAGAGAGAAAAGTTAAGAAAGATACTTAGGTGATTATGCCTCACATTATTGTGGGCCAATTATTAAGGTGCAAAATTGCAAAGCGTAACCAATAGCAGTCTCGCGGTGTTACAACTAATCGCTGAGGAATGTTTCAATCATGCAGCCGCCTCTTTATCACGCCCCCAGCTCTCACGAGCCAATGGCAGCCTGGCCTGTTGACCCCAAGTTCAATTACCTTTGAGAAAATACATTTTAAAACTGAGAAACACTGCAGTAACTTGAATTATTTTAATTATCCGAACGGTAAAAGAGGAGCCAGTTGAAGGAGCAAAAATGTACTCTATTTCCAGTCTCACCGAACCAAGAGTCCGCTAGCTCCATCCATCCATTTTCCACCGCTTATCCGAGGTCGGGTCGCGGTGGCAACAGGTCAAGCAGGCCGACCCAGACCTCCCTCTCACCGGCAACATGTTCCAGCTCATTCTGGGGGATCCCGAGGCATTCCCAGGCCAGCTGGGAGATGTAATCCCTCCAGCGTGTTCTGGGTCTTCCCCGGTTTCTCTTCCCAGTTGGACGTGCCTGGAAAACCTCCAGTGGGAGGCGTCCAGGAGGCATCCTAATTAGATGCCCGAACCACCTCAGCTGACTCCTTTCGACGCGAAGGAGTAGCAGCTCGACTCCAAACTCCCTCCTGATGACCGAGCTCCTTACCCTATCTCTAAGGCTGAGCCCGGCCACCCTACGGATGAAGCTCATTTCGGCCGCTTGTAGCCGCGACCTTGTCCTTTCGGTCACGACCCAGAGTTCGTGACCATAGGTGAGGGTAGGAACGTAGACCGAGTGGTAAATTGAGAGCTTTGCCTTCCGGCTCAGCTCCCTCTTCACCAAGACGGTCCGGTGCAGCGCCCGCTTTACTGCTGCAGCTGCACCGATCCGTCTGTCGATCTCCCGCTCCATCTTACCCTCACTCGTGAACAAGACCCCGAGATACTTGAACTCCTTCGCTTGAGGTAGGCACTCCGTCCCCACCTGGAGGGAGCAATCCACCGGTTTCCGGCAGAGAACCATGGCCTCAGATTTGGAGGTGCTAACACTCATCCCCGCCGCTTCACACTCGGCTGCAAACCGCCCCAGTGAATGCTGGAGGTCACGATCCGAGGAGGCTAACAGGACCACATCATCTGCAAACAGCAGAGAGGCGATCCCGAGACACCCGAAACTGACGTTCTCCGCCCCCAGGCTGCGCCTAGATATCCTGTCCATGAAAATCACGAACAGGACCGGTGACAAAGGGCAGCCCTGGCGGAGGCCAACACCCACCGGGAACGTGTCTGACTTATTGCCGAGAATGCGGACACAGCTCATACTGCAGTAATACAGAGACCGGATCGCCCGTTGTAACTGGTCCGGCACCCCATACTCCCGCAGCACCCCCGAGGGACCCGGTCAAAAGCCTTCTCCAAGTCCACAAAGCACATGTAGACTGGTTGGGCAAACTCCCAGAACCCCTCCAGTAGTCTTGCGAGGGTAAAGAGCTGTTCCACGGCCGGGACGGAATCCACACTGCTCCTCTTGAATCTGAGCTTCGACAAGCGGTCGGAGCCTCCTTTCCAGCACCCTGGCATAAGCCTTCCCCGGGAGGCTGAGTAGTGTGATACCCCGGTAATTCGAGCACACTCTCCGGTCCCCCTTTTTGAAGATGGGAACCACCACCCCGGTCTGCCATTCCATGGGCACTGATCCCGACCCCCATGCGACATTGAAGAGGCGTGTCAGCCAGGACAGCCCAACTATGTCCAGCGCCTTCAGCATCTCAGGGCGGATCTCATCCACCCCCGGCGCCTTGCCACCAAGGAGCTTTTTAACTACCTCAGCGACCTCTGCCAGGGATATGGGTGAGCCTCCCCCTAGGTCCTCAGGCGCTGCCTCCTCTGCAGAGGACATGTTGGTCGGGTTTAGGAGTTCCTCAAAGTGCTCTTTGCACCGCCCGACAATGTCCTCCGTCCGGGTTAGCAGTCCTGACAGCTCTGCTCCTCTCTTCACCCGAGTGTCCAAGACATACGGCCGCAGATCAAATGATACGATTACAAAGTCGATCATTGATCTCCGGCCTAAGGTGTTCTGGTACCAGGTACACTTATGAGCCACCTTATGTTCGAACACAGTGTTCGTTATGGCCAAACCGTGGCAAGCACAGAAGTCCAATAACGAAACACCATTCGGGTTTAGATCGGGCAAGCCGTTCCTCCCAATCACCCCCCGCCAGGTTTCTCCGTCATTGCCCACGTGAGCGTTGAAGTCCCCCAGGAGAACTATGGAGTCGGTAGGCGGCGCCCTTTCCAGGACCCCTCCCACCGACTCCAAGAAGGCCGGATACTCTGAACTGCTGTTTGGTGCATAAGCACAAACCACAGTCAGAGCTTTGCTCCCCGCAACCCGTAGGCACATGGAGGCGACCCTCTCGCTCTCCGGGGAGAACTCCAACACAGCGGCGCTCAGCCGGGGGCTCGTGAGCATCCCCACTCCCGCCTGGCGCCTCTCAAACTGGGCAACTCCGGAAAAGGACAAAGTCCAACCCCTCTCCGGGAGCTTGGTTCCAGAGCCAACGCTGTGTGTGGAGGTGAGTCCAACTATTTCTAGCTGGTATCGCTCCACCTCCTGCACCAGCTCTGGCTCTTTCCCCGCTAGCAAGGTGACGTTCCACGTCCCTAGAGCTAGTCTATGCCGCCGGCTATCGGCATGCCCGGGCCTCCCGCCCGACCCACCGCCCGGTCTGCATAGCACCCGACCCCGATGCTTGTCCCTGCGGGTGGTGGGTCCACAGGGTGGCTGCTCCATGGTGTTTATTCGGGCTGAGCCCGACCGGGCCCCATGGGCAAAGGCCCGGCCACCAGACGCTCGCCTACGAGCTCCCCTCCTGGGTCTGGCTCCGGGAGGGTGCCCCGGTTTCCCTGGTCCGGGCGAGGTGACTGTAGTCCGTGGGCTAACTATCATAGGGGTCGTTTTGAACCGCTCTTAGTCTGGGCTCTCCCCTGAAACCTGTTTGCCTTGGGAGACCCTACCAGGGGCTAATGCCCCAGACAACATAGCTCCCAGGATCACTGAGCCACTCAAACTCCTCCACCACAATAAGGTGGCGATTCGCGGAGGAGTCCGCTAGCTAGCACAAGTAAATAGAAGCTGCAGCAGGTGTTACAGGTGAAAAGATGAGCAATATTTGCCTTTAGTCCTCGTGGAAGGAACTTGCTTGCGCACATTTCACTTGTCTGTCTGACACACATGAGATGAGCACTGGTATTTCTCCTAAAGAGTGGAACCAGATTATTAGAATTATAACATTTGTTTGCATTATTTGTGAGTGAATCAGTCAAATATGCCACCAGCACGCTTGCTGTTTGTTTTGTGTATGAAATATTGTTTCTGTGGTGCTGCTGGTCTGGTATGGTCCCTTTAACACTAGTGACTGGAGCAATGTTTGCCTGTATATGCAGACAAAAGGTGAGCCCTGAACTACCCAGAGAGAGACCACACAGGTGATTTAAATTTAGGCTGATTGGACCTCAGGACTGTGTGCAGACTCATGTTTTTATTGCAAAAACAAACTGGAGTAGAAATATCCTAGGGATTAAAGTGACTATAAAACCCATGAAAAATAAAACAATTCACGTATGTTAGATTTTCAGCCTCTGAGGTTGGTAGAACGATACCTAGTTGCATATTTTGTTCATGAAAAATTATGAAATCTGACTAATCAGAACAAGTGAAATCACTTGTGATGGTGTGCAGGCCTCCAATAGTCACCTGTTGTGCTCTGCTGCCCGCCAGTGGTGTTAAAGAAACACTACACCAGGGTTGAGTTAGTTCGGGTGGTTGAATGTTGTGATTTTATATTGGATTATAGAAGGCGAGAGGAATAAATATACTCTTAAAACCACAAGAGCCAATCTTTATTCATCCCCGTGTTAAATAACGAAACAAGACCTAATTATTTTTTTTCTGAAAGTCAAACGGAACAGTGGGGGATAAGTCATGTCGGCACAGCAGAGGTCCACAGGGACAACTGTTAGCTTCAAAGGAATCAGCTGTTATTAGAAGGAAAAGCACAGATGTAAATAATGTGAATGATGGCTGAATTCCATTTAGCTGCTTTGATTTCAGGGTCCTGGGCTGCGGTCGAATGTTTGGTTTTTCCTCTAAATGCTAAGGGAAGGAAAAAACTATAGGCCGTGTTTTTCATAAACATGTCTGCATTTTGTTTTTTATTTCAAAAAGTCCACAGACAAAAAAAAGAAAAGGAAGCCAAATAAAATACTTGCATGCATTTACAGGCTTGAAGACCGAGTCTGGTCTCGGTGCATTGTGGGCTAAAAGCTGAGCGTGAAACCTTGAGAAAAGTCCCGGCACACAGGCAGCAGTTTAAACACGTTCACAGGTTAATCACTCAGCACCGTCACAGCCAGTACGTTAAAATCCAGTGTGCAAATAACTAAGACTGACCGGACTGCAAAGTCAGTCCAAACAAAAGGAAAACAAACTATTCTCACACAGTGAATGAAAGTGTGTTTTTCCTCTTTTTCTGTGTGAAGGCAAACGTGTAAAAACTGTGCAATATTTATTCACTTAGTCAGTTTTGCTTTTGCGGCTTGTTTGTGAGGCGCATCCTCACTTTACTGACCTGTGTGACTCCTGCAGAACTTTCGGGGCTAAACGGCACTTAGAGTTTAGGCTAAAACATCAAATCGTCACATACACTTCACCTGTTAAAAGTTTAAAAATCAACCTTACGGTACAAAGTATTCTTCATTTAAAGCTGTCCTGAAGGTGTAGTTTAAAACCAAACGACAAAGTTCTGAATGGATGCCAGCTAAGCGACAAAAAGTAAATTAAATATTTCGCTGCATTGATAACAGCTAAAATGCCTCGCTGTGCTAATCGTTAGTGGTTTGTGATTTTAGTGCAGGAAGTAAGTAACAGACACGGAAAAGCTTCTACGGCTACATTTTAGACATTCGAAGATAAGAACCATCTTCTTGAACAGTTTCAGTGATTTTGTTCAAATGTCATTTAAGTGTTAAATAAAAGTGGCGTTCAGGGAAACAAAAAAAGGTCAGTCTGTACAAAAAAACGTTTTTGGGGATTTTAAAAATCCACCAGCAGAGTCAGTGGTATAACCCCTCTGTGTTATTTATGATGCATTCCTACTGGGACCGTCTTCCAGTCAGCTGATCCGGGGTTAAAGTCCCAGCACCAGTTATGAGGGACAACATTCCTCCAGATTACCCAGAACTCTCCAGTACAATACGCAGTGCACGGGGATCTCTTTACCCCCCCCCAGAGACGGCTCACAGGAGCAGAGGCGTGTGCTCCCCGGCCGGCTCCATCCTCTTGGTGAGCTGCCGCACTCTGGCCAGGAGGCGGTTGGGCAGCGGGGGGAAGTGGTGGCTCGGGTCGAGGACGTTGGTCTTGCGGCGCTCGCGTTCCTGCAGCCACATGAGGTACGGGCTGGGCGGGAAGAACGGGCGGGTGCGCTCGCGGTACAGCTGCAGGACGACGCCGCCGACGCCGAGCACCACCCACACCGTGATCATGGCGTAGTCTGGACGACGGGAGGAGGAGGAGACGGTGTTGAGATGAGACCAAACATTAGAGTCACAGATTCTTTTAAAGTTGTGAACTCACCGATGGCTTGGAAGGGCATGTCGGTGAACACGGCATTGAAGTTGTTGTTGAGGAAGCGCTTGAGGATGTTCAGTGTGATGAAGGACAGGCTGGTGTAGATGTAGGCGTTGACGGCCAGAATCACGGCATAAGCACCGACGGCGCCGCACGTGACGATGTTTCCCTGGTGTCAAAGAAACATAAAACATCTCTGGTCAAGATGAATGAGAAACACTTTCATTCTTACCTTTTTTTATTTAGATAGAGCAGGGATTCGGTTGGCTGTAAAGCACAAAAAAAAAATAAAAAAAAAATCACTTTTTGTCTCACTATGTAATCTGTCATACCACCACTAGATGGCGCCAAAATAAATATCCTAAATCCTACACATCACAAGCTCCTCAGTGGTTTGAAGCGCTTTTGGGCTCGTTGGAGAACACACAGGAAGTCACAGAGATGGTTACATCCTGTTAGATTTGATCTGTAGTCTACTTATTTATATTTGTTTGAAAATATACATATACGTGGAAATATGTGCGACTGTCACTGCCGTCCATCCTTTGTTCTTTCTATGTCTGTCTTATTTCACTGTGCTTCTTGTTTGGATGTGTGCTGTAATAACATATATTATTATAAACCACACAAGATATGTTTTTAGATTAAACCTTCATTGCACAACAATCTTGCGTAAAATGTTACAATCACACAGAAAGTGTTCTACTGAAACCCACGTGACACAGACCCTCAGTGGGCCGTCTCCGCTCTGAACTGTTCTCAGATCTGTTACCTCTCTGGGCCAACGCACGAAGAACAGCGGAACGGCGACCATGATGCAGCAGAAGGTCACCCAGAAAACGGCATCTGAGTGTCTGAACAGATCGAGGTCACCTGGAACAAGACCGCGACACACAGGAACACACTCGGTATATAAATCATACGCAACAGTGTTAAAGAGACAGTGACGTCACGGCGGCAGGTTTCTCCTACCGAGAGGAGTGAAGAGGACCGTGGAGGCGACGAGGAAGCCGAGCATCAGTCCAACCACGACGACGCAGGCCATGACGGAACCCCAGCGCCACCAGCTCATCACCAGCAGGACTCCGCCCACCACGCCGATCACCGCCGACAAGGCCAGACAGACTGCAGAGAGACGCACACACTCTCACATACTGGCTGTAATCATGCAAACCGGCAGAAAGCTTTGAGAATGATCAAAGTGTGTGTGTGTGTGTGTGTGTGTGTGTGTGCGTGTGCGCGTGTGCGTGTGTGTGTGCGTGTGTGTGTGTGTGTGTAAGACTCACTGTCATAGTCCAGGTCTGTGGTCCTTGTGATCAGCACAAAGAAGAAAAACATCCCAAAGCTGAATCCCATGCAAAACATCTCTGCGTGACAGAGAGGCAGAAACAGAGAGAGAGTAAATTAAATGCAGTGACTTCACACGTCACAGTAGAACCAGGACAGACGTGACTCGGATCAGTCTGCACAGAATAAACCCACCGCATCTTCCAGAACCACTGGCAGCAGCGGCAGTTCAGTCATGGGTTCACAGAGCAACAAACCTTTCGGCATCACATGAGAGGAGACCACATGAGAGGAGACCACATGAGAGGCAGGCCAGCGCCGATCCGGATGTTCATTCTAGCTACGCATACTTGCAGATAAACTACAGGAGATTAAGTAGTGTGCACCCCCCGTGCCTCATGGACGCCTCCTTTTTGAAGAGGATTTCTGTCTGGCCAGAGGCCCCCAGGAAGGGTTCTAGATCTCGTCTGGGCTGGGAACACCTCGGAAAGCGCTGCTGAGGTAAGGGACGTCTGGATCACCTTGCTAAGCCCAGGACCCGGATAATGGATGTATGAATGGACGAATGGCTTATTATTACGAGGGTAATTCATAATATATGATAATAATAATAATAATAAAGACACAAAGAGATGCTACTCACCACACTTAAAGAATCGATGCCCGAAGAAACAGACAAACAGGCCGGCCAAGCCAGCGAGGGTGAAGAAAATCTTTGTAGAGATCTTTCCTAAAAACAAAATAATAAAATAACTCATTAACTGAGTAGCTAAAGGTCAAACCTTCTATCACAGCGTTCCTTAACCTCTGCAGAAAGCTGTATTTCAGCCCATGGGGTCTCTCAATCAAACCAATAACTAGAGAGTTTGGTGACGGTTTGGAGTAGCACGGGGTCATGGGAGATGTCTTCACCACCATTGCGGTCAACTTCTCCTAGTTAGGATTTCTTCAGTGTTTATTTTAACGGGAGCCAAATTATCAGCAGAGGTCTCTTCCTCTCCCAAACAAACAGACCCGGTGATTAAAACCTGAAAACGCTCAGAATAAACACGGGATGTCCTGGAGGGGCTGCGAGCTGAGCTGCCGCTAACATTTGGCAGATTGTTTCTTGTTTCCATTTTTTGTTTCACGTGTGATGAAAGCAAAAACAATAAATTAATCTGAAAATGTAAGATCACAAGCGTCGGAATAACGAACCAGTGAGCGACACATCGATGATGTGGAACACGCGGCAGCTCACCGAGTGTTTGACAGCCGTCCAGAGCGGAAACAAAGCTGCAGGCGTAGGTGTGGACGGGCACGTAGGAGGCCGAGGTGTTCATCAGCGGGTCTCTGACCACCACCGAGTAGATGACGCCCTGACCGGGGATGGAGTTGAACACCGCCGTGCTCATGTCTGAGGACAACAGCGTAATGACCTGCAGGGGGACGGGGACGAGGGGGAGAAGTTAGCGAGCAGCACGCCGGCTGTTGTGCTTCTGTCACTTGCCATAACTTTCGTTAAACATGTTCTTATGAGAGCTAGAAAGACGGTGGTGTTCGTAGTGTCCCACCCGTTTGCCGTTCTTCGTCATGCCCTGGATGTCCGCCACGGCCTGAATACCACCGAACAGGCTGCGCTCTGATAGGTCGTTCTCAGGCAGGAAGTACTGGTAGACGTCGTACTGCAGCCGCCAGCGCGTGTTGGTCTCTGTCGATTGGTCGCAGACCGGAGGAGTTTCTCCCCTGATGGAGAACCAGAACAAATCACATTGCCTTCAGTTATTATAATAACTCATTATGTTATTGTATATGATGGACTTTCTTGTCTGAGGCTCTCCTCTAGTATGATTAGCAATGAGGGAAAGGCTCAGTGCCTTGCTCATGTGCACTCCGTGGATCCAGGACACCTGCCTCTTACTGCTGTATGGCTACAAGGTGAACTGGCTTTGTGAGGAAGGACGCTGCTTTGAACATGGATGCGAGACAGCTGGAGGAACACCTCTTATTACTTTATGAAGATGAATCACAAACCCTGCAGCTGGACCTCAACCACCACCAGCTATTGCATCACTTCCTGTTAGCAGGGCTGTACCGTACAGTTCAAAGCTGTATTCAAATTCTAAATCTACGCAACTTCTTATATTCATTAAAGAAATTTGCTTTAATGAAAAAAGACAAATCACTTGATTTGAAATATTAAAAAAACCTTTAACTGAAGTGAACCAAACAAACAAAGAGCCTAGTATCTGTCCACACCACTGTTGGTAAAGAGCTGAAAACTCAATTTGACACATTTTATGCACGCAGTTTGGCATTTCCAAAATTGTCCCACGACAAGATATTCCCTCCACAAAGCCCAACGAGCACAGAAATCAGAAAGCGTCATTCAGATAACCGAAACCTCACGAGAGTTTTAACAACAGTGGAGTCTATGCTGCTCCAGACTGGCAGGTAATGAATGACACAACAGGAAATGATACAACGAGTCCTCTGTTTATCTGCACCGAGACGGCTTTGTGACACATAACAGACGTTGTTGAGAAAACGAAGCGAGTACTCTGAGCCGCAGAAGAGGAAGAGAGAGGAAGAGAGAGAGCATGAGACATCAACAGCGAGGCGGTTTGGCTTACAGGTCCTGATTTGTTTTTGGACGTGGTTAAACAAGCCCAACAGGAAGTTGAGCACATACTCTTGCGTTACCTGTCGTAGCCTAAGTTTGCCGGGGCAAAGCGGATGGTGGTCTCATAGAGGTTGTAGAGGATATAGACGTTTGGGTCAACGTCCAGGTCGAACTCCGTGTTACAAGCTCCAGGGACCGGATCTGAAAAGAGATCAAATTCTTTATTAGCTGCTGCGTCGGGCATGTGAGGGTTTAGTGGTACCCTGCCATATCAGGATGACTTGTTGTTGGGGTGTTTCAACACACTAGGACGGCATATGAGCAGCCACGCTCAATCAATGCCAGCGCTCACTCATGGTCGGCATGAGCTTCCCTTAAGTCAAAGGTTTACCACCAACTGAGTGTCTCTAAGCTTCTTCTAGCTGCAACTTCCTTGTTTTTTTTTCTGACTTCTCACGCGAGACTCGGATAGAGCGGCACACATCAGAAGAGGCGCTGAGCATGATCTGGTGTTTCAGAAGACGTACCGCTGCTGGTGTACGGCAGGATGACCCCGGTGCCCGCCACGGTGTCCTCGTCGGGAGAAGACAGAAACAAGGAGAGGGACGCCTGGCTCGGCTGGAGGGCCGACAGGAGCCCCGAGTCCGCTGCCGTCAGAGAGAGACCCAGGGCTGGCATCTGAAACCACACGGACACATCAACACCTCGTCAGCGGGAAAATGCAAAAGCAAATAAACAGTACGAGCAACAACCACTTTAAAACAGTCAGGTGCCAGAGGAAAAATTAAGGACATTACAATTCATCCTGAGGGGGACATACATGTAACTAAAGGGGGTTGAGACAATCTCCTGCCAGCATTAACTTGAAATATTCTCTCTTCTGAAAACAACACACTTGGCTCTTTGTTTAATGGATTACTGAGTAATCAACCCGTAGTACGCCTCACTCACTGCAGGCTGCACTCCTACAGGCAGTGACATTTCTACAACGGCTGAGCTCATGATAAGACCGGGCTGACCAACAAGTCAACAACATGTTTTTCACTGTTTGTGTCCTCAACACACTCTAAAATAAATGGAATCTTATTCAGAACAAATTGCATTAGTTGCTAATGAAGGGAATTAATTAATTTCACTGGCAGATCGAGTAAGAAGTTCAAATCAGTCCAAAGGTTGAGCTCACAGATCAGTTGGCCTGATGTTCAAATCCCATGAAAAGCCGAAACCAACAATGAATGCATCAACTCACAAGCAGTGTGTGTGTGTGTGTATTTAGCTTGCAGATGAAAATAGACCCCTAAAAAACATTTTATGGGATTTAGTTATATATAAATAAGTAACTTGAGCCTTATCTGACTGTATCAGCCCCAACACTGAGACCTGGTCTTTGTGCATCAGCTGATACCGAGTACTGATCCAAGACCAGTGTTTGATTAATAAGCCGTCTGCCTCACTGTGTGGAAGTGACTGAGATCATTATTGTATTTGTAAGGCAGCATCGGGCTTCACTTAAACATTACAACATAAGAAATACATAGATCTATAAATGTACAGAGTTTTTATTTATTTTAAATAATGGTATCAGATACCAGATATCTATAAATAACTGTAATATGCTGAGAAATTGGGTTAGGAAACTTCCAAAACAAATTAGTTGTTTGAATTTATAAATATAATGAATTGTTTTTTAAAAAATTGAGCAAATTACAGTGCTAATTTAAAGCCATACCTTGTTAATGTTCAGCCATTTAACCGAATGCATTTGTGTGCGTCTGAAGCGTGTGACGCAGTCCTGAACTGGTAAACTCTCAGTTCACATGAACTAGCTCTCTGACAACAATAGGATGCGTGTTACCTAAAGTAGAACAAACGGTTGAAACGACTGGTATCAAAGTAACTGTGATGTGTGTTACAGACAGCAGAGGGCTCGGTATCGTTTTGGGGGAACGTACCATACATTTTGCAGCGAGCATGAGCTGAATTACATGTTTACACTGAAAGCACTGCGCGCGCACACACACACACACACACACACACACACACACACACACACACACACACACACACTCAGTCTGACCGCTCATACAACAACTCCATTGTGTGAAGCTCGTCTTATTGTTGCGCTGGAGTGGGTAGTGAGACTCCATTTGGTGTGGTTTTACACTGATTGTATTTAAAAACACCACAGAGGTAGTGAAACGCATACCGCAGTGATTACCTTTACATGCACACTAACATGCCGCTGTTATTCAGAGTACGGCAATATTCAGAATCGCCGTTGTTGTTGTTGTCACAAGGGCAAAAAAATTTATATTTTTAACATGTAAACATGGTCGGTGATCCGCATTCTGAATGTCCAGTTATATGTAGTATGAAGTACAATATCCATCTAAAACATACTGACGTTTATCTGGTAGAGTTTTATGCATCTGGATTGTTAGCTGGAAGTAGAAATGGACAGTCATGAGCAGCACTGGCTGATAAACCAATTAACATCAAACACTAAAAGAAGGATCTTGTGGTTTACCACTCGCAGTGAGCGGGAGCGATGAAAGAATAAAGGGAGAGTGAAATAGAGATCGGCTCCATCTCGAGCGCTGACGTCCATTTGCGTCAACAGGCTCAACTGTTTGGCTTTCTCTTGTTTTCCAACGTTTCCATCAACAGAGGAAACAAAATAAAGCTAAACTAAATTAGCCCCCAACCCCCCCAGCGTGGACCCAAACCGAGCTGTCCCCTGAGACTTGTGGGACCGACGCCAGCAGCTTCCCTCAGGGCCGCCCTGTCTGCCGCTCATGACCAGTGGACTGCACATCAGCTGACTGCCACTCCTCTCAGTGGGCCAGACGGCCTCACTCACAAAGCCTCATTCATCCATCAGAGGTAGAACTAACTGCCTGCTCCTACATACCTCCAATTTCACAGTTTACCGTTTTATTTTTTATAACTGTCACAACTAAAAGAATCACTCAATTGAGGATGTGGAGAAACTCTAGAAAAATTATGAGGCGTTTGATTTGCTGATTTAACAGAACATTATGAATTTGACACCACTGAGCTTTCATACACTTAGAGCCATGTCATGCTCTAAGTGACGAACATGCCAGCCAGCAGTGTGTGCTCTCAGACCAGTGGTGCTAAGCTAGTGGTGCTAAGCTAGTGGTAAAAGGTGCGGCTGGTTGAAAACAATGAGCTGTGTGCACCAGATGATTTCAGTCACGTTCAGTTCAGCACCACAATGCACCCGCCTCCAGATGAACAAATATTTACCTCCAGCAGCTGACTAAAATAAAAGCTGCCTTGCTCGTTATCATGGTAGACAGGTAAAAGATAGAGCCCGATTGTTGTTTATCATGTAAGAAAAGAACAGGCTCACATTATGTTGCTATTTGTTTATTGTATCTATGCAGGGGGACCTTATGATTTATGATTACCTTATTGAAGTTTTTTCACTAAAAAGGATGTTCTTTAAAAAAAATATTTGTCCCATCTGTGATGCAATAAAATTATTTGTTTCTCAAAGGGATAGTTCACCCTAAAACCCTAACCACATGTTTCCCCTCTTACCCGTAGTGCTGTTTATCAATCTAGCTGGTTTTGGTGCGAGTTGCCCAGTGTTCGAGTTATCGGCCGTGGAGATCCACATCCACTTCACAGATATAAATAATAAACTGTATTTTTTCAGATTCGAGTGTGATACGGTGAAATATAGGATTTATTTCACAAGCTTACGTGTGGAAATAAGTCCATTGACAGAGCTATCGATGGTCTATATGTGCAAGTGCTTCAAGTGCCTTCTCTCGATTATAATACTTTGTGGAACTCGGCTTGTGGCGCTCAAAGTGCGAAAAATTATCGAAATGGAAATCATGACCCGGTTCCTCAAGATAATCCACAGACCTTGTCTTGATCAGTTTCATGGATTTTCTTTCAGACAGAGCCAGGGTAGCTGTCTCCCTCTATTTAAAGGCTTTGTGCTAAGCTAAGCTTTATATTTAGTGTATAGACATGAGTGGTATCGATCTTCTCCCATAAGTATTGGCAAGAAAGCAAATCATATTTCAGATGATGAGGGGAGAGTCCGTCAGTCGTCTGTCACAGGTGCTACCGCAACAGTCGGAGCTAAAAAAAAAAAAAGTGTCTGGCAGCACTTTCTCACCCTGGTGTAGGAGAGCGTGGCGTTGCGGTGCTGCGTGTGGAACTGCAGGGTGACGTAAGCCACGTCCGGGGCGATCCGGGACACCACGGCCTGCACTGTCTCGTTGCGGGAGACGTTCACGTTCTGGAAGGTTCCCAGCAGGAAAATCACCCGGTCTGCGACGGAGAGGAGAAAAGTCTGATTGATCACATGCTTTTATTGTGGAGGATTGGTTGGAGCGTGCTGCCTATAAATTCCGAGCGACAACACCAGGCAATATTGAGTAAACAGTTTGTTCCCTGAGGTCGCAGACAGCAGCTGGTGCTTTGCCATGAAGGCGACCTGAATACAGGTCAGCAGCCCATCAAGGAGGATCTTACAGAAGAAGAAAAAAGCTGAATGGAGAAGTGTGCTCTGTGTTGAGTAATGAGGTATTTCTTTAACAGCTTGACGTTATCTTCCACTTTTATCTGAAAACCTTTGGACTGGCCAGTATTAGTGAAGCCGATCATCCTCTGATCATGTGCTTACGTCAATGCTGTTTTTGTTTTCTTTCCTCTCTATTCAAATGAAACAGTAGTAATGAATCCACTATGGATGTACTCACTCTTAAGTAACCATTAACTGTCTATCTGAAGGGGAATGTGCAGAAAAGCACATAACAACACTGTACCATGATCACTTCAGATCACGCTGAAACAGCAACCGTCCACTCATGAGATCTGAGAAGCACATGTAGTTTGACCAATAGATTAAAAAATATATACATATTAAACTGACTATGTGATGCTTAAACATCTGTCAATCAAATATCACACTTCACCAAAGCAGCTTCTCCCACTCATCACTGCGACACTTCCTCATCTCTTTCACAGACCACTCGGATTGAAGTTTGAGAGGCTTTGAGAGGCTTTTCCACCCTGAGTAAATGGAAATTAGTTGCAGAAAGTGACATAAATCACTGGTTACTTCAGCCGCCATCTGTGACTTCACCCTACAGCAGAGACATTGGAGTTATTGATATTCTATTAACATCCCAATATGAATATCACAGGAATACTATACACAAGTTATGTTAGAATTGCTCTGTGATGACCCCCCCCCCACATCTCCTTACACCGATATAGACTCTGTTAAACAATGTGTAAAACATACACCCTTTCTCAAAAACACTATATAACTGAATTAAATTCACTTTATGAGTTTTTGAGGGGGGTTAAACTGGACTAAATAAACATATGACCCTGAGTAGGTTTGTGAGAAAATTTGATATTTCACTGCTAGCTAACGTTAGCTAAAGCTACACAGCAATAACAAGCTCAACAGAGTGACACTCCAGTGATTTACATGCAGTATCAAGGAGTCACACAACGGCATTTAACACGTTACCTGCTACACAATGTTAACGTTAGCTACTATATAACCCAATACTTATCGGTTTTAAAGATTGAGAAAGATAAATAACATCCTAAAAGTGAAAGTAGCATTACATTAAATTGCTGTGCGTAGTAACTCACTTTCCACTTGCGCTTGAACTTCACAAGCAAGAGGAAGACAGAGCAGCAGCAGCGGGCACCAAGTCCAACGAGACATTTTCCTTTACTTCGACAAAAGCGCTTCTACCCGCCGGTCGGTGAAATCATTGGTAACCTCGGAGCCTCCGGTGTTTGGGGAGCAGCAGTCTCTGCAGAAGCGACATGCTTGACTGGACTGAGGGGTTCCGCGGGACAGCCTTCTCCCTCTGCTGCCGCTCCGACGGCTGGAACGATGCTTCCGCGAGACTCGCGCACTCGGGTCACGCGATAGCTCCACCTCCCTGTCCAGACAGCATTTTAAATCAAGCAGTGACTGAACGTGATTTACATAAATTGTTGTCTTGGAGCATCTTACTTCGTGTATGTGTTTTGATGTCCGTTCATAAACGTTGCGTTGGGTTTATTAACGGCATTTAAAAGGATGTTTGTGGATCTGGGAAAAAGTGGCGGAGTGGGAGCTCTTTGATATCATATTCTCAGACCATAGCTAATCACTATGTCAAAGTAATTTATGCTAAAAACAAGCACAATTTTATGTGCACAAAATGAATGTAAAGCAGTTAAAAAAAAAAAAAAAAAAAAAAAGGCTGCTGTTCTTGATTTACAGAAATATTCTTCAGATATTGAAATAAACACGAATGTTGTAAGCTTTCCAACATTACTCTGCTGACTTGTTGCAGTTCTGCAGCAGAAGGGGAAGTTGGATGTTACAACAGATCCTGTGTGTTGGATGATGATTCTATTCCTGCTGTTAAGCTGTTGATGAAAATATGCCACAACAATGCATATAGTGAAAGCGAGAAGTCGAGTTCCCGCTCAGGTCACCACACAGAAAACAGAAAACAGAGACAATTTACATGTTTATTGATTTATTTCAACTCAAGCCCTTCTCTTACCCATTCATACATTAAAACCTTGCAGTCACCAAAGAGTCATGCATGCTGGCAAACCAATTGAACATAACAGAAGTACGAACAAACAAAAAAGATGAGACACATCTTTCACACTGCTTGAGTCTGAATCACCAGACGAGGATGCAGCTCCGCAGAATCGTGCTGTAAATGCTCCAGGAGAAGGGAGAGTATACAGGCGAAAGATGAAGTGGTATGTGGCAAGACACTGTACACAATAGTGGCAGCAACAGCAGTGGGGGACGGTCCCTCGTGGGCTCTCTTAATTCTTTCGTAAGCTGACGTCGGCGCTGGTCAGCAGCGGCGACAGCGACGTGCTCTCTGATGTGTCTTCTCTCTTCAGAACCAGGAAAGCCTCGCGACTGATTCCGAGCAGCTCTCGGAGGCCGCTGTTCTCCAGCTGAGATGCACAAAACAGAAGACGTACAGCCATGCATTCAGATGAAATAATACCACTACTGCTACTTCTATTACTACTAACATGGATCTTTCATTTGATGCTGCGTCAATCAATGAATATTTGCACGTTGGTGGCTCCACATCAAGCCCATTATTTGAAAGAAAGTGTGCCGCGTGGTTCAAAAGAATAGGCTTAGGATTTTTCTCTCAAGTTTGGATTTGAGTCCCTACCCTGCACCATCAATTTATTTTGGACAACTGTTGGAAGTACACGTGGAACAGATCGGGGCATTTTCTTTTACCTCTAGCTGTTTAATCCTCTCCTCGTCTTCACATATTCGTCCCTCGTCCACCTCTATCGCCTTCCTCATCACAGAGGCCATCTCATTGATCTTGTCTATGTGTGCTTGCATTTCCTACAGAGATGGAAAACAAAACATATCAATAAAAAGTAGTAGAAGTTGGGAAAGTAGGTCTTTAGTAATCAGCTGTCACATTTTTCACGATAAAGTTTAACAAGTAATCCCCCAAATAAGCAGGCCCTGAAAGGAGGATTAAGTGGGCCTCACTGACCGTGGTGTGCTGCTCCTTCAGCTGTGTCACGATGGCGGGGTCGTCTCTCTTGCTGGCTATGAGGAGCCTGAACATCTGCTCCCGGTATTTGGTCATGATGAGCTCTAACGCAGACTGGTGTTCATCCAACGACGTCCGTAGCTCTGCAGGGAGAGTAAACACAGGCTTTTTAGGAGACATCACTGCAGAAAACCTACACAAGAACATCTGTCAACTTCACGTTGCCCTGCTGCGATTAGCCATCTCTGTGTTTGTGACAAACGGGAGTCCACTCCGAAACGGACCACAAAGCAGCCAAGCCACAGTGAGAGTAACATTACAAATGAAAAGCCTACCTTTGTTTTCCTGCTGCAGCTCTCTGATCTGACGGTTTTCCTGTTGGATTCCTAGGACCAGACTAGAACGAGGACGATGTCTCGCTACCTGGTTCAACGAGTCAATCTCCTCCTGGTACTGCCAACAAGAAACCCCCTCCCATTAGACAACTGGAAGATTTCAGTCTACAATTAACAGTGATTTATGTCACTGCCTTACACTCGTTATCAGGTTTAGTAATTATGCATTGAAGCGGCTATAAAAAGAACACTCCTATTTAATTGCCACCAACATAATGTGATACCATACCTGTTGCATGGCCTCCACACGCTTGTTAAGCGAGGTCGTCTGTTCGATTAACATCTCAGCCGCGTTGTCATGGTTACGAAGCCTCTCCACCAATGATTTGGCATCTGCCAGGACCTTTTCTACGGTGCAGTTCATGCCTGAGGAAATAAAACTCATCATTACGAGGAACTACGAAGGTTTAATGACCACAGAAAAGAGTGGATTCCTTACTTTATAATAGGGTAATGCTGCCATTAAGAGATTATTATAGATTGTTATAAGTACCAGGTAAGCTCAATGACTCACCCATTTTGTAATCAATAAAATCATTGTGTGTGCTGGGCTAATGTGATCTCTTTCCTCCTGTTTCAATGAATGCATATACCTGATTGGTTCAAAATGATTGCATAGAAATATATCTATATCTAATATGACTTACCCAGCCTTCACTATTGGCATTTAAAAGTCTGAACTTTGTATTTTAATCGGGCTTTTATCTCAGGCAATAAATTGTGCCTCATCATGCTATTCATTACGTCACTTATTGACCAAGTGAAGAGTCACACTAACAGAAACTGAAGCTCCCCATTTGTAAATCTTCAGACTATGATCAGATTAGAGTCACTAACGTTAATACAACTAGAATTCATTGTTCGGTACAATAAAGAATAAAGTAAAAAGACATGACTCATCAAAGAACTAAAACAGCATGTTTCTTAACGCGTCGCAAACCCTGATGTCAGATGTGTGTCAGCTAATTCGCTCAAGCTAACACTGCCTTGCTCTAAGTGTTACATTTAGTTAATGTACGCCATATTTATCCTAGCTGTGGTAAACTTCAGGGCAACTACGCAAAGTCGTTCTGCTTCAGTTAACTGACTGAGTAACGTTAACATTTTACCAGCAGCACAAACACAAAGTCTTTGCTAACTTATTAGCCGACGTACAACCCACATTTCAGCTGTCATACAAATCCACTTCAGGTTGGGATTATAAACATGTTGTAACTAGTTGACTGGCATTAAAAACAGGTCTTCCTTATTAAATTTAGAAATATAGTTGAAGAAGAAAGTGTCGTACCTTGGGAACTCAAAGTGCAAGACATTTGAGTTTAGCTAGTCCGCCGTTACTTCCTGTTTATGTTTAGTAGCTAATGTTAGCTACACGCTAACATTAGTCCCATCAAGGAGCAACAAGTAGGGTTAGAGGTGACGATGCAGCGCTATTCCTTTTTAAAACACGACGATATATCAGCAGACATGAACTATGAACTTGATTTCAACACTCGACACGCTGTAAAGTCAGTCTTGCAGTGATTTAAGTGGCTACAACTAAACCTAAACGATAATATGACAACCAAAGCTTCTAAATCCCGTCAAAATCCCGCGAGGTTTTTTGACATCAGGACTTTTCTCGCGACACTAACAGCGGGACTTTGTTATTACAGAAAACATGGCGGACAGGCTAACGCAACTCCAGGACGCTGTCAACTCGGTAGGACACATTTATAGTATTTAGAGTATTTCGCTGAAGAAGAATAACTCTGTTTGGACTGGTCATGTTATTTGAAGGTGGAAGGTGGTGTCTCGTGCCTCCATTATGTTCAGTAACTTTGTAAACATGGCTACATCACTGGGTAGCTAACGACCAGGGGCCTGGTACGTTACCACGAACAAGTTTAGCTTCAGGTTATATTACACACAGTTAATACAGTGTTGGAGTCTTAAAACATTGGAACCTCAAAGTGATGCAATGTCACTATAAAGCTAACGGGTGGCTGACTGACACGGTATATTGCTAGGCGTATTAACGAATAACATTATAGCTTCCTGCATAAAAGTAAGTACGGTCCAAATGGTGTTGTTTTGTGTGTCCAGCTCGCAGATCAGTTCTGTAATGCCATCGGCGTCCTGCAGCAATGTGCGCCTCCTGCCTCCTTCAACAACATCCAGACAGCTATCAACAAAGATCAGCCAGCGAACCCAACCGAAGGTGAATTGTTTGTTTTCTCCCTAACTTATCATCATTATTGACTCCCTTGTCTTCTTATTAATATATATCTTGCCTCTTGACCATTTCTGGTTAACATTGATACACCAGTCAACTGTTGACCTTATCAAATTGAGAAATGTTGTCAGATGGGATCAACGTTGATCCATAACACTTAAAATGCTATTTGCATAATTTCTGTTACTATTATTTTATCTCTCCCCAGAATATGCCCAGCTGTTTGCAGCCCTGATCGCCAGAACAGCCAAAGATGTGGATGTACTAATCGACTCCCTGCCCAGTGAGGAGTCCACGGCAGCTCTGCAGGTCAGCACAGGCACAATTAACTTTAAGACATTTCGGTTACAGATTCCATGATCAACATTTAGAGAATACCAGCTAGTGTTTCTAGCTTCCAGTCAGCAGAGGGAGCCAAGTGAACGCTTTGTACAGCTGCTTTCTACAATTTGACACGGAAAATGATGTCTGCTCATGGGTTTAAAATAAATAACCAAATGATTGCAGTCAATTTTCAGGCATCACTTCTAGTTATTAATTGTGAGAATCCTAGAGGTTAGTAATATACTGCTGGAAGAACATTTTTCAATTACTGACATATACACACTAATCAATGGGTTTATTTATTTATATATATATATATATATATATATATATATATATATATATATATTTTTTTTTTTTTTTATGACATTGTTACACACAATTTGTGTGTAGATAGTTTAAAGTTTGATCAGTTAAAGTGGCTATTCTCAACCACCATTCATTATGACAGGTGGTGATGGGTGAGGGTAGCAGAATATGTATTTAGGTCATTACAGCTGACAGTGGCAGAACAAGTATTTACATCCCAGTTTTTTTTCCTGTTTTTGGCATTTTATTTTTTCTCATTTATTCGGGAAGTTGGTACTCGGAACATTAATAAATATCAGAAGTGGGCCTCAAATGAAAAACCGTTTGAGACCCCCTGATTTTAGGAGACTCAGATCAGATGCAACAACTTCTCAGAAGAGTATTTAATGTGTTTATCCAGGGTCACTGAGTTTTTATGAGAAGCCTTTTTAAGTTCATTTCCTAATTCCTCCACAAAGGAAATCGAGAGGAAAAGTTGCTTCTCTGTCCGTGTTGATTCCTGTCCTAAAGATAGAAGGTTATATTAGATGAAAGCAATCATCCTTACAGGTTAAAACTAATGCAAGTGATACAAGTGAGTACCCGATGTGTATCTGGAATGACTCAGCTGACCACGACTTCCTATTGGAGCACTGATGTTTATCGCTATAGATTCAAAGTCACACCAGTTAGTCTTCAACAGTTGAAATACACAGACTATGTAATGTGACAGACCAACACCGTCACTGCTGGACTCTTGACATGAGAGGACATGTGAGGACACTTCCCATGGATATCCTCAATGTCCTCTTGTTCTAAATAAGCCCACGATGAAGATAGAAAGATGGAGTACTTTGTTAATCCTAGTGGGAGATTGTCGCCAAGTCACGCATGATATCCAAAACTAACATATAAAGGAGACTCAAAGAAGTAGAAAATACCATTATTAAGAACATAAATTAATCTAATTCTAAACTAAACCCATGCAATACCTCTAAATATATACAACGGTAGTACCCGGTAGTATTCTGAACTTGCTTCGTGCAGGTGTTGTTGGTTCTGCATATTGTCTTGTTTTGCCATAGAAAGGTGCTTAATTGGAGTTGCTTACATGAGTGCTGGAAATAACTGTACAGTGAATCTATGTATACACTTGTGATGTGTGGCATGAAACGTCACACAATATGGTGTTTGTAGACGAGACGTCATCCGATATAAAAGAGAAGTACGAGTACCTCAACTGTACTTGAGTAGCCTAAATGTACAAGAATATGTTTGCATGAAATGTTTGCATAAAAGAAAATATTTACACTCTCCCATCAGTCATTTGATGGACAGAAAGCCCCGCCCCCTATCGTTGTAAACGACATGTTCCCTCTTGTCAGGCGGCCAGTCTGCGGCAGCTGGAGGAGGAGAACCATGACGCAGCAGCTCGTCTGGAGGAGGTGGTTTACCGCGGCGATGTGCTCCTGGAGAAGATCCAGAGTGCGCTGGCTGACATCGCCCAGTCTCAGCTCCGCACGCGCAACGGAGCACCGAGCCAGCCCTCGCCGGCCGAATCCTGACCCGCTGTGTGTGTGTGTCTGTGTGCATAACGCAGTCCTGGACAATTCTCAATCTGACTCTTTACCCTCAGACATCAGCTGCAAGATTCAAAACACTCAAAGAATATGTCTGTAAAGACCAAAACGGTCGATGAAACATAATTTGGTTGCTTAGCAATGTGTCCTCACGTACATACTATTTTGCTTAAGGACCTTACTGCTGGTACAAAAATATGTCTCCAAAAGACTGGTCTGAATGTGGGAACGGTCACCATGTCATGTTTTTTTATGTTGTATGTTGATCAAGTCTGTTTTTGTAGATATTTTTGAATGGAATGATTGAAATTCTCGTTTTGGAGTATCTCCACTGAAAAGCCTCTCGGCACTCTTCAGAACAGTTAAACTCACTCAGCTCACTGTTACTCCGAAGTTTTTTTTTTTTTTTTGTTTTTTTTAAAATAAATCTTGAACAGACACAGTGGAGACTTCAGAACTTTTTGTATCTTTAAAACAGATTTTTTTTGTGTGTCACAATTGTTTTGGGGAAAAATGTAGAAGTGTTTTTATCTCCAGATCACGAAGGATGTGTATTGTTGAATGTGGCGCTTACAAGCGATGTTTCTCTGCCACAAATCATAAATGACTCACGTTTAAGTAAGGATAAGAAAAAATAACTTTTTCATCCATAGAATAGGAAAATACATAATAATGCCTAACTAATTAACTGTTTATTGATGTAATTCCTTTTTAAATTCGATAAAATAGCCATTCTGTCTCCTCTGACAGTTTTAAAAGATACTTGGTTGAACTGTTAATGTTTAAAAATCCAGCTCTAATTATTTGTTCACACAACAGGGGTGTGGCCTTAATTTCACTCAAATCAAAAAGTGGCTCAGTGGTCTGAGTCCAGGCTCCGGGCCAGAGAGTTTATAGCCCAAATCTAAATATAGGTGCTGTGTCACGGCTCAGTGGGCCCCACTGATGTGAGGAATATAAAAACAGCCTTGTCTGCTGGACACCACACCCAGACGTGTTAGCAGGGCACACCCACATCTGTGCATGTTGACATCATGACTCTTACAGTAAAAAACACTCGACCCGTCCAAATAAGGACATTCATGGCCTGAACTGTCAACACAAGTTTCCTGTTGGTGTTTTGTTTTCTTCTTCTTTTTCTGCTGTAGTTAGTTTTATTTTGATTTACTGCATACACCTCTTCTTTGTCCTATTGATTAATAGGAAATCAAAGATGAGGGCAAATACATTTCCATTCCAAGCGCCCTTGCTGGGATGATTGGAGGAAACAAGACAGTTTCCTATGGAATTTCTAGATTGCAACTTTGTAGTGTGAAAACATAATCTACAGTGTCTAGTTCCAACAGCGAACAAGTGTTTTACACATTTTTTGCCAAACGAGCTGCAGTCATCTTGAAATGTTCTACCAAAATTCTCAGATCTTGCCTTAATAGAAATATCTACCGTGATTTTATTGTGAGACAAAATTAGTCCTATGAAATGTTTATGGGTACTGATTACAGTTTTGTATTTGTATAGTGAAATTTGATTGTTAATCATTCCTTTGCGTTTGTTTTAAACTATTGCAATGAAAAAGCAGCAATGTGTAGTCTCGATCACAATGTGACCTCTTATTGACCTTAGATAGCCTCTTGTGGTTCACATGCCATTTGCTATTTATGTGTGAAGAAACTAATTAATTCACAGTGTTATTTGTATCACATGATTCTAAAATAGCATCATAATAATATTAGTTCTTTTTAATGGTTTGCACCCAGCATAACCAATACAATTATGTAACAACGCTTACAACTACTGTAGCCACAGACAAGCCTTTCATAGCTGCAGATGCTTGCTAGCCAAATGAACCTGCGTCCTGGAACGCAACCCTCGCGGGGTGGTTTATATCTTCTCATTGGCTGACACGCATGTCATTCTTATGCATTTTGCATATATGATTGGCCAGCAGAAACCACAGGTTCCTTTCTTCATCGCTGATTGGTTCTTGCCAACGTCAATCAAATGCGACGCCGTTACGTTGCCGGAGCGTCAGATGAGTCCCACGGTCCCAGGAAGCCCCGCTCCTTATTTCATATATATTTTTTAGCAATAAAGGCGGTTGAAGAGCTGAAATTCGAGGTCAGGGAGCACAAATGGAAAAAGCAAAATAATTTAAAATGATTTCAGGTTAGCTTGCTGTCAACGTCAGCGCACATTTGTTATTATTTGGCGTTGATATCGGCGATGTTTACTGTGCAGCTTGATAAGTTCCTCTGAAGGGTGGCCAATCTCTGGATCCTCGAGCCGACCACTGCCTCAATATCAGGCAGAAAAGACACAGTATATTTCTCTTATATCGTGGGGTGGCGGCAAGCCAATAATTGACTCTGGAGCAGGACACGGAGGTAAGTGAAATATATTTCCCACAGAAGGCTCTTTATTTGAATGCTGTCGTATTTTTCATGGAACCTGCCAGACAGAGTAAAGGGAATATAGCAGACGCTAGCTAGCTAACACAACTCAACCACAAACGGTCTGTATGAAGTAACCTGATATTATTAAAACGTATTAGTATTACAAAATAAAGAGTATTAAATAGTGTCAGCCATCATGTGCCAGGCAGCAGTGGTGGCAGATAGAGGTAGTGACAGGGGGGCACAACAAGTTTAAATTGAGGTGAGTTGTAAGACCGTTAATGTGTGTCCGTAGCTCGTGCAGGTAAACGCGCCATCTCCGCAGGTGGACGAATGACGTTTAATTCAGCACATTTAATTGAAAGCATTACAGTTACGACACTCATTAAACGTACAAAAAAAGAAGTCAATCATTGACACTTATTTTGCCCACTTTAGCTTTGAAATAACATTGACAAAACACACCTGTCAATATATTTGAAATCTTTTTTTGGCGTTTCTTTCCAATTCTGAAGCATATTCCGAAGTGTATACTGCTACTGGAAAAACAAATTCTGCGAATAAGGATATGAATAACGAACATATTTCCTTATTATGTGTAAAATAATACTGCACAATGTTTGGGATAATACTGAATAATTGATACCATTAAGTTACCATTAAAACAATGTTAAGATGACTTTGAAAAACAAAAATGGCCGTTAAGCTTGAGAAACAGAACATTTGGGACTGTGTGTGTGTGTGTGTGTGTGCGTGTGTGTGTGTGTGTGCGTGCGTGTGTGCGCGAGCATCCCATTCCTTTCTCCCTGTCTCTGGCGTTATGACTGAGTCTTTTCATTCAGGACGGAAAGAGCTTCCTGTCCAGTCACTTACAGTACTTGTAGGGTGGAGTGTGTGTGTGTGTGTGTGTGTGTGTGTGTGTGTGTGTGTGTGTGTGTGTGTGTGTGTGTGTGTATTTCCAGATGTATGGAAATACACACACACATCCGAGCTGTAAAACCGTTTTTTATTCATTGTGACAAAATCTTTTACTTTTATTTGTAGATTATAGTTTTGGCCCAACAGATCCTGTCCCCTGTTTCAGGCTGCATGCTTTAGCTTGCTGTTATAGTGCCTTCCTTGTGTAGCCTTGTGTGTTTAGCTCGTGGGTGGATCTGGAGGACTTCAGGCCAAACTGAATCCCTTCAGACTGAGCTAACAGCCCGGCGTTTTCCACCTAGCTGGGGAAACGAGCACAGAACACATCCAAGCCATTAGGTGTGAACATTAAAGGGGAGCTACTCCCATTTTTAATATTCATATATGTCATTCCTATGGTCTAAATAATCCCAAAAATATCAGTAAACATGAACAACTTTCTCTCAAATCCAAAAAGCTAGAGTGCTGAAAAGTGTATGAATTTACTACAGCTGTCAACAATGCCATCTGTCAAATTTTCTACCATTCTCGTTGACCGAAAATACCATCAATCCTTCTCAGAAATGTGACCTCTCATAGCGGCTACTTGAGTGAGACCACAAGAGCTGCGATTAGCCTGCTTGTGCCGCTTTGTGTTTGATGAAGATTGTCATTCTATCGGTGATTACCAGTCTCCCTTTTACGCTGAGCTTCCTAGGAATGTTCAGCTCATCTGCGCCGGCCTCAGTAACTCTACAACAGCTTTGTTCACCAGTGTCTCCCAACAAAAACCTCCCAACCCAGGCAGCAGTGATTCAGAGAGTTTTCTCAGAAGTCAGGAAGCATCTTGTTGTCGCGGCCAGGACGGGGAAAAGGACCGGAGACCAGATGAAACATTGGTCCTGTCTTTGAGCTGCAGGGCTGTTTTATCTCTGCCTGAGCTCATCAAGTCTGTCTGATGGCGTTCTGCTGAAATCTTTTGACGAATCTGCTCATGTTGATATTTAGAAGATTTAACTTCCCCTCTATCTGCTTACTTTTATTTCTTTTACGTCATCATTAATGCTTAGTTCTTCCAACAACCTCTTGCTTCTTCTTTCGTCTGCTCTCTGGGGTTTTTAATTCCACCCACACGAGGTCTGGGAAGATGTCAATATGTGCCCTTCTCGAGAAAGTAGTTCCCATCGTTCACATGAATACGAACTTAAATGCTGTTCTCATGTGAACGAGAAAGAATGACCGGCCTCCTCAGGTGACTTTTGTTCTACAATCGTTCTTTGTCATTTTGATATCAGAGAGCTGTAACGTTGCAAAGGAATGTGTACTGAGAAAGATCAGTGGAGGGTTCACTGATTAGTTCCTGGAATGCAGACCGCGAGTCAGCCAGCGCATGATTCCCTGTCCCCACTCTGGGGGTCACAAGAATATTTTAGTACCAGGGACCCGACTCCTGCCAGGGATCTGCTCCAGAGCTGTTCTCATTGAAATGGATAAATGGATAGCACTCGGTTACCTTGTAGCATTTGATAATATTTTCAATCTGAAAGTCTAAAGGACTGCGTTAATATTATATTTAAAGGGGAACTCAACTGATTTCACACATTAAGATCAGTTAATCCATCAGACGTAAACGTACTGCTCAGCCTGAGAAAACAGTTGTAGTAATGTTTCTGGACGGCACTCTTATATTATCTTTGAATGACATAGGAGTGAAAGACGCTATGAAATTGCATTATGGGAAGTGTAGGATTCAGCGTTTTTGGAGCTTGACACACGCAAGTTAATATCCGACCGACTTCTCTTGTAGATTAGTCATGGGAAATAACATCCGCGACAGTTTTCCTTTTTGTATCAAGCAGCAAAAAGAAAGTTGCAAAAGCATTACGCGCTTGAGTTCATATGCTCACTTGCACGTCCTGTGATGTGACATCGCAGTGCTGAAATGATACATCATGCAGCCCTACATCCGATACTGTAGAGGACAGAAACACAGGGTTAACTTATTAGACGCCACGTAGCTCTGTGTGTTGGTCCTCAAGGTAAAACTCCTCTCTGACAGATACTCCATGGAGGACTGAATTGATTTTCTTTCGTCTTGCAGGATAGTGTGGCCATGACGGGAGGGACTGAAGCCACCCTTCCCATGAGCAACCACACCCGAGAGAGGGTGACCGTGGCCAAGCTGACGCTGGAGAACTTCTACAGCACGTTGCTCACCCAGCACGAGGAGCGCGAGATGAGGTGAGAAGAGGAAGATGGTCACCGTGACCTCACACACAGACACTATTTTGGCCGTAACTCAAGAATTCATACGCTAATTATCACAATTTCACGCAAATGTCTGATAGGATAAAATGATGAAGTGGCGACATTTTGGACAGACATGGATGTAAACTGCAACACGACAGCGAGGCTGTAATTCTAGTTTTTGTTTGCTGTGCTGTCAAAGACATTCTCAAGATCTGTTTGAAGTAATAGAATCTGTCCTTGTCGCACGTATTGTAAAGCAACTAGACGTACGGTGATTCCTCGTTCAGATTTGCGTTGTGTGTAATACGCTGTATTATTCACAGGCAGAAGAAGCTGGAGAAGGCCATGGACGAGGAGGGTTTGCCGGATGAGGAGGTACGGTGCGCTCTGTCGTCTTGTTTGCGTACCACAAAAGATTTTCTTTCATTTTTTTAATCTTTCTCTTCGACTTCCTCAGTTGACTCCCTGTCTATCTGTCCGTGTTTTGCAGAAAGTAATGCGCCGCTCGCAGCACGCCCGTAAGGAGACCGAGTTCTTGCGACTGAAGCGGACGCGACTTGGCTTGGATGACTTTGAGTCCCTTAAAGTTATCGGGCGGGGGGCTTTTGGAGAGGTACGGTGGAAGAAAAGCGTGCCAAAGCTCTTGTAAATCTTTATTAGAAATCAAACGACACCATGTTTTTTTTTTTTATCACAGCTAATCCCATTTGCTTTCCTTATGAACTCAACTGTGATGTCGTCTCCTTCAGGTCCGTTTGGTGCAGAAGAAAGACACGGGGCACATTTATGCCATGAAGATTTTGAGAAAGGCCGACATGCTGGAGAAGGAACAGGTCGGCACCACGGATCAACAATGTTGAAGCTGCTGCTGCATTCAGGCTCTTGTACCGTAGGCGTCTCACGCTGTCTTCTGTTTCCCTGCAGGTCGCCCATATCCGGGCGGAGAGGGATATTCTGGTGGAGGCGGACGGCGCCTGGGTTGTCAAGATGTACTACAGCTTCCAGGACAAGAGGAACCTCTACCTCATCATGGAGTTCCTGCCTGGAGGTTTGCACCGATCCGTTTGTTTGACCCTAGCATTTGAGGGCATTTAGTATGTCGAGTGTTAAAACCGAGATTCACTGAACTGGACACAGGATGAATCGGACAGACAAACATGTTGTGCCGACCTCTGCCCTTGTTGATAGGCGACATGATGACCCTGCTGATGAAGAAGGACACTCTGTCCGAAGAGGCCACCCAGTTCTACATCGCGGAGACGGTCCTGGCCATCGACTCCATTCACCAGCTGGGCTTCATCCACAGAGACATCAAACCAGACAACCTGCTGCTGGACTCCAGGGTGAGACACGACGACAGACACGCCTCACTGACTGTCGGTAAACGCGCACAGCGTGGTGCGCGTGCAGACTTATTAAATGTTCGTTTGCTCACAGGGACACGTGAAGCTGTCTGATTTTGGCCTGTGTACGGGACTGAAGAAGGCTCATCGCACAGAATTCTACAGGAACCTGACGCACAACCCGCCCAGTGATTTCTGTGAGTTCACTAGAAATAAAGCATTGATGAAAATAGATGCATATCAATGTGCGCTATAATAAGTGGTAACATATACTGTAACTGTTGACGTGGTCACTCGCTGTACTCTCCCACCTCTCGCAGCCTTTCAAAATATGAATTCAAAGAGGAAAGCAGAAACCTGGAAGAAGAACCGGAGACAGCTGGTAAGCCCTTTTACTAAATAGAAGTGTAAGAAGAAGAAGTTTTTCTGCAAATATTGACACAGCAGCCTCTAAATCCTGGTTAACTTAATGTAAATAATCAACCTGACAGGAACATGTTGGACTACTTAGTTTTACTGGTTGATTTCTTTTTTTCTAATAAATATATTCCAACCCAGAGCCCTCACCTTCTGTCTTTCTGTGACTTTCAGGCGTATTCTACTGTGGGAACGCCGGACTACATTGCTCCTGAAGTCTTCATGCAGACGGGATACAACAAGCTGTGTGACTATTGGTCTCTGGGTGTCATCATGTACGAAATGCTCATCGGTAAGCAGTCTGTGTGTAACACAGACACAGAGGTGAAGGAAATAAATCTGGAAAATGGAAGTGGGAAGTGGGGTTGATCGAGGTACTTCTCCATAGTCTGTGTACTACTACAGTAGATGGATTTTAGAGAAACAGACAGGAGCAAAGCTATGTACTGCTGTGGGTGCGGCCAGCATCAAAACCTGTTTTGCCATCTATAAAAATAAGAGTAAGCTATATTTACAATATTTTCTCTGCTCTCTTCAAAGCCACAACATACTGCATGTAGTTTTACATGGCAGAACACAGAAGTTGCTGGTCTACCGATGCCTTGATCAGTTAGTTAGTTAGTGTTAGTTAGTTAGGCAGCGGTAGACCAGCAGAAGGAGTCTGGTGGCTTTGAAGAGGGCATGAATGGATAGAATTGCTTCAGTCTCTACGTCTGAAAGGGCTGTCTGACGTCACGGTAAAGCAGGGAGAATATTCTAAATTTAGCGTACATGTAAACTGATATTGATTATTTTGTTTGTGTAAACCGTTTTGCTGCTGCCCGCGTACACAGCAGTATGTCGCTCTACTGGTACTCCTGTCTACTGCCATATATTGTAGGTAATATGCTGATTATGGATCCGTACATCATACAGCCCCACTTCAAAACATCCGAACTATGCCTTAATATTTGCTGTACACAGGAACAATTACAGTAGATCACTTGCCATGTTGCATGTATGATTGACACATGACCTAACCGGCTGCTGTCAGTGGACTTCTTTAGGTTGTACTGCCGTACGTTTGTAATGCTTGTTGGCTGTGTTCAGGTTACCCGCCGTTCTGCTCTGAGACACCACAGGAGACGTACAGGAAGGTGATGAACTGGAAGGAAACCCTCGTCTTCCCCCCCGAAGTCCCCATCTCAGAGAGGGCCAAAGACTTGATATTAAAGTATGTTCATGTGACGGCCGCGTGCTGAACATGTTGGTGTGGACAGTGAATGATTGTCCAACTACTGTATGACTGTTTGCTGTTTGTGTGTTCCAGGTATTGCACTGATTCCGAGAACAGGGTTGGAGCTGTGAGCGTGGAGGAGATCAAGAGTCATCAGTTTTTTGAGTCGGTGGACTGGGAGCACATCAGGTACATGAACACTGACATAAATGTGGTGGCAATGTAACATGTCTGAATAACCGCTGAGTCACTTTTACTTCAAAAGCCAAGAAGGCGGTCTAAATAGGTAAAACCATCATCGGGCTGTATGGGGGTGCTGAATGTCTGATTTTACACGGACTTGCTCTCTTTCTCTGAATAAATCATGATGTAGATCTTAGGTGGTTTAGATATCAGCCTATTAATTCTACTGTATTTTTTTTATTAAACATTTTATTTATTTGAATATACACAGACGGCATTATCACCTTTTTAGTTGCAAGATATCCAAAGACCTGGAATAATTACACAGGACAACCAAAATATACATTTAGCAATAACAGCTAGAAATGCTAAGAGAGATAAAGCTAGCTAATGTGTTCTTATGAAACTAATTCTACCATAGATTCATCCATGTTTTTTTAATATCTGGACAGGATGTATTTTTTTTACATAATATTACTATTAATAAAAATGTTGTTACCCTTCTGTCTGCGAATTGCTATAACGGGTAAAATGGAATTTCTGTCGGGCCAAATTTTACATTTTATTTACAACCATGAAAAGCAAACAGGCTGAGAAACTGTTGTGTCTGTATCGATCTCCTCCACTCAGTTTCAGTACTGTGGACAGCGTTGCACCTCTACACACGACAAACGGCGTTTAACATTCCTTATTTCTGTGGCCATCCACGATTCTCCCCGTCTTGCCTCCACAGGGAGCGTCCTGCAGCCATCTCCATCGAAATCAAGAGCATCGACGACACCTCAAACTTTGACGACTTCCCCGAGTCGGACATCCTTCAGCCAGGTTTGTCCCGTGGAATCCTCCGCTAGCAAAGCAGGAAAACCAGGAAACATTAGCCCGGGGTTTTGATTCAGACAGAGCATGATTATAGATGAGTCATGACAGATGAATGAAACGGATTCTAAACAACGATTATTCTCTTTATACTATAACGGCTCTAAAGGGGCCTTTTCGGTTGCATGATGCAGTGCCCTTCAAGTGGCAAAATAATAACGCCACCTCTTGTTCTGTGTTCCTCAACAGCCAACGCGACAGAGCCGGACTTCAAATCGAAGGATTGGGTGTTCCTCAACTACACGTACAAACGCTTTGAGGGTCTGACTCAGCGAGGCACCATCCCCACATACATGAAGCCAGGGAAGGCCTGACACGGGGAGACGGACAGACAGACGTTTACGGACACAGGGTCGGGCCACCGAGCCCCGCTGGTGCTGAAAGGCTGCGCCGTCGGGCCTCTCGGTATAAATTTAACCCTCATTATAAGTCATTTAGGTCTGCTCAGCCGCCGCAAGAACGCCACGAGCTCTGAAATGAAGGAGCGTTACCGCATTACCTCGGTTGTTTATATCGTATACTCGTGCCGTCTTTACCACAGCTCTCAGGCCAGCTCACTAACTAGGACACTAAATCAGCATATCTGCATGTACAGTCCGGAGAGGGTGCTTCACTGCCCAGAGAGCGACAGTGGGACCGATGATTAGCTGCGATAGTTTCTACTCAGGCGGCTCAATTAGCTCTGATGCAAGCGCCATTTCTAATACTCAAGACGAGCTCTATTCGCTGTAGTCGGAATGATAAGTTAGTAAGAACAGGTACACCTCTCACTTGTTCTCGCCCGTACTGTTCTACCCAGATACTGGATTTTAAAGGAAAGTTCCAGCATGATTTCAAGGGGTTTGGCTCACTCTCTGCTTTGTATTTAGGACTTACTCCCACTAACGAAGGTAGCATCCATTTGTGGTGGTGGTAGTTAGCAAAATGCTAGTGGACCCCAATAGGTCAGTTAGCATCAAATTATTCTGGGACAAATAGGAATGTTGACTACATTGTTTTTATAGGCCTTAGTTTTACAGGCTTGTTAGCCCTGCTAGCGGTGTAGCTGTTACTATTGGATGAAGTGTCATAACTTCTGTGATCTCTTAACTTTTCCTCTAGTGCCGTCATCAGGTCAAAAGTAGTTTGTCCCATATTTTATTTTTACATTATTTTTTATATATCTCTAAAGCTAACTACTGACTTTCCCATCAGCACCAGCCGTACTAGTGCTAACGAGCAAACGATGCTAGCGCGCTAAACTAAGATGGCGAACATGGGAAACCTGGTGAACATGTTAGCAGTGTCTGTGGACGTTAGTATGCTAATGTTAGCTTTTAGCTCAAATGTGACAATCTATTTATAGAAAAAACAGGCTGGGAATTATTTTAAAGTGTAAATGTTTTTATTGTAACAGTAGTATAATTATTTTGGCCTGTGACGGGGGAGATTGACTTGGACGTGTCTCGCTGTTTTCAGTAACAATCAACATTAAAGGGAGAGGAAATAAAACTCAAATTACGCTGGAACCGTCCTTTAACCGCCACGGTGCGACTCTGTGTCGGCTCTTTAGGACAACTCTGACGCTTTTCTAGCGGAGGCAAGACCTGTTGCCAGGAAACGTGTGAAAGCAGTTTGCCCCGTGCTTGGTCTCCGTTAGCGGAGCGTCGGCCATTCACGTGCATCCAGAGTGGCTCACTTGCCTTCAGAGCCAGTTGTGTTCGTTTGCTGCAGTAGTTATTTCCCCTGATCTTATTTCTAATGAGCCAGAGGGCCGATCTGTTCCTTCTTAGATGGACAAAACATGCAAAGTGCCTTTTTAAAATAGCAGATGAATATTTAACCAGATGTGTTAGCGATGTTATCGGAGATTAATCATAGGGTGTCAATTACTTTTAGAAATGTTAAAGCTGTTTGAAGGAGGGAAAAGTGATGCTAAGACAGCAAAAAGAGAGCTCTGATGTGTCGCTTCTATTGCGTGTGTCTGCAGAGTGATGACAGAGCGATGAAACGAAGGTAACACAGGTTAGATAATTAAACAAGGGGCTCATAAAAACGATGCTCCAGGCAAACACAATGAACAAAGTGTGTTTGTTGAAGATTAAGCTAAACTAGAAATAAAATAAGACTAGATTAAGATTGTGGATATGTTAGACACATGTATGTTAGGTTCTAGATGTATTTAATGTTATTTTTCACCCCCTTCCCCCTAAAAAGCTAACGTCAGGCCTGTTTTACTCAACAAAACGAGCCACTTAACCACCACCTCTGCTCAGAGTTGTGACGCGCTAAAAACAGTAACCAAAGAACTCTGATCATCACACGCCGTCGGTCTGAACGCACATTCAGATGTAGCTGTCGCTTACTGCACTTAACGTTAAACTACCTTTTGAATAAAACACCGTTGCACGAGAGCTAAACTCGGCTACGGAATAATTCGCCATTTTCCATTTCTACGCTTGTTGGGGAAGTGAGTGAGCAGAGGCAGATGTTTCTCAGTTAGCACATCTGTTCAGTGTGTCAAAATGCAAGTAAAGCTAGAAGTGTGTACTGAGGACTTTACCATATTGGACTAAGTTCAGCTGTAGCCATCACAGGACTCCCAGATTAAACAGGTTGTGATGCTGTTTCTGAGGAAATGGGGGAAGTGGTCTTGCCGTTAAATAAATTAGAGCGGTGTGTATAAATGTAATACACCTGTACTGTCTCTCCTTATATTGTATCTGTTTAACCAGGTAGTCCTGTTACAATTAGCCAAGAAAGCTCCATGAGGACTTGCATTGTTTGTTTGTTTGTTTGCAAACAACAAAAGCGATCTACAAATTAGGGTTATTTCTGCATTATTTATTATTTTTCATGTTTGTTGATGGATGAGATTTTGTCCTAGTATTGAGTGCATTTAAATTGGATGATGTTCATATCGGATATAAAGACGCACTCCGGTGATTTAGTGTTGCACCTCGTTGAAGCCAGAGACGTTTTAAAAAGAATGGTCAAATGTAATTGAGTGAACTGACTTTGATGTGAAAAAAAGCGTGGAGTGTCCCTTTAAATGCAAACAGAAACACATCGCATTGCATCAGATAGACAAACATAATAAGCCAGTACCACACACACAATAAAAATCCAAATGTGTCATTCTGACGCAAATACAAATCAAAGCTACGACTAGTCTGGAATATGTGGTCCTACTGGAGTGCGACAGATGCATGATGGGTGTTTTGCTGATTGCTGCAGCTGCTGATTCCCCGGTTGTGTCTAATCACTGGAACAAGAACCGCCCTGGGAGAGGCCAAACCGCTGTGCTCATAGCGTCCGGTTTCACAGCCAAACACTTAGTGTGTGTGTGTGTGTGTGTGTGTGTGTGTGTGTGTGTGTGTGTGTG